TCATTTTTTTTCTCAATTTCTTCTACGAAATAGTTTTCCAGTATCATGTGAAACACTTCAACCTCTTTTGTATAACTATCGGCCTGACCTTCTAGATTTGGCAGAGGTTCCAAAGTCTTATCCTTTTTATGTATTCCATTAATATTTCCCATATCAGCTGCTTTTTGGGAAAAGTTAGGTGTACTAAATTCGTTTTCTATCATCCTTGATAATGCAGCCGCATTATTATATGCTCATCCTGCCTAATGGATAATTGTAAAGTTATAAGGCTAGAGCTATAAGATCCAATGAGCCTTCTTGCCTTTTAACACACTAGTTTGGAGCCACTTTAGGGCCGAATGATCGGTGACAATAACGAAAAGCTTGTAACCCAGATAATAGTAAAAATATTCAACCACCCAGACCACTGCATAACATTCTAACTCAGTGGTCAAATAATTTCTTTCGGGCTGAGTTAGGCTTTTGCTGACATAGGCAATGATATACTCTCTCCTATTACAGTCTTTTTGTAACAATATAGCTTCAAGTCCAACACCCAATGTGTCTGTATGCAGATAGAACATTTTTTCAAAGTCAGGTTACCTTAGGATCAGGGCTGTTGTAAGGTGGGTTTTTAATTCATTAAAGGATTGCTTCTGTTTGTTTTTTCATTCATATCTGAATCTTTTTCTAATAACTTATGCAATAGCTTGGCTATTGTGGTAAAATTTTTGATAAAATATCGATAATAAGAAGCCAGACTGATAAAGCCTCTTAGCTACCTTAGGTTAGTTGGGGTTGGGAATTCTTTAACTTTAATCACCTTATTTTTGTCAGGCTTTATTCTCTCTGCTTCTACAGTATGTCCTAAAAAACTAATATTATTTTTAAATAGGTTACATTTTTCAGGATTCAACTTTAGTCTGGCAGTTTTTATTCTAGAAAAAACATTTGCTAGGTGGGTTAAGTGGTCCTTATATGTTGGGGAATAAATTATTATGTCGTTTAAGTAAACTGCCACATATTACCCTATATATTCATGTAGGATATAATTCATGGTTCTTTAAAACGTTGCCGGGGTATTGCATAATCCAAAGAGCATAATGTTAAATGCATATATGCCTTGCTTGGTTATAAACACTGTTTTCTTTGGGTTTCATTGATATTTGCCAGTATTCGCTGGCTAGATCAAGAGAAGAAACCATCTAGCCTTGCCAAAAGTTTTGAATAAATCATTGATACAGAGTAAGAGGAACATATCCTTCTTTGTAATGGTATTCAACTTTCTGTAATCGACGTATAACCTAAGTTTACCTTTTTTTTTTGGAACGATCACAACTGGCGAAGTCCATAGGCTTTTGATTTCACTAATTAATTTACTTTTCAATATTTTTTCTATTTATTTGTTTAGGAAGTCTTGCTTATCTGGTGAAACCCGATATGCTATTTGCTTAACAGGTTTCACACTACCAGAATTAATTTAATGCTGGATCTTATGGTACTGGTCTAATTTACCTAACTCAGAAGAAAACAAGCCACCAAATTTCTTTAAGATACATAGGGCTTCGGTCTGCTGTTTTTCATTTAATGTTTTGACCTTTACTAATTCGCTAATAAAATCGACAGAGTGGATTTGGGTTTTTTAGTAACTTCTAAGATGGGAATTTCTTCAATAGCAGTTAAGTATATGGTGGGGCTATACACATCTTTCTAGAGGTTGAGAAACAATTCTTCATTATCTGTTGAAGCATCGTCAGTGTGGTAACTCTCAACCTCATCTAGATCATCTTCACTTTCGTAAGTAGTAAAGAAGTCATCCTCATCACTACTGTACGCTTTTTGAGGAATTTCTAATTTGTCTTCATGTGTTTGAATAATAGGAATTTCATTACTTTTTTCTAAATACCTAAAGAGTAATTTTTGTTCATTGAAATGAATCTGGACCTGGACTTTTTGGAACCAGTTAATACCAAGCAGCATTGTCTCATCAGGA